ACCTTTATTAAATATAACATCTTGAAATTTTAATCATTTTTAAGTCTCTGATTGCTCGCTCTGCTCGCCAAACTTCAAAGATAAGATCCTCGGAAGCATAAATCCACCAAAAACTTGGAAAATAATTTTCAAATAAGGTCAAATATTGATCACTGGCTTAGATCTATTCGCCAACATGAACTTTAAACATTTTTAAGTATGTTAACAGTAACAACAGTGTTAATAACTCAAGAATGAACATTTTGTGGATTACGACCATTCACAACTAGGGCGACGAGTGTCACCTTCTTGTAAATGCAGGTATAGTTAGGTTAGATAGGTAGGGTAGGCGACGGATTCTTGAATTAATATGAACCTACCGGTAGGCTCAGGATTCTTTCAACAAAGAGTACCTACCGATAGGCGTTATATCATGTCATGTGCCAATTGGGGACCTACCATAATGTTTTCGCGGTATACATAAACGGTAGGCACACAATCAATGAAACAAACAGCACCTACCGGTAGGCGCAGAATTCACTCCCTACTTTTTTTGTGTTTTTTGGCCCATGTATGGCCACGCCATCTTGAATGTCACGTGGTTTGAATTGCCTAATGACGAGTGACTTTGATGGACTAATGGAGGTTGGAGGTTAATGTTTATCGTAATTAATTACAAATTTGGTTACTTTGGTCAGAGCAAACTATCGATAGTACAATCCAGTGATGGTAACACGTAGGGAATTTCCCTACAAGTAGGGAAAATTTGATGTTTTTTTTCTGGTGTAGGGAAGAGGGACAGAAATTCGAGTATTGGAAAAATGTAGGGAAATTCAGAGATTGGTCGTATATTGTATAATAAGGAACAAAGAAATATTTTGTCAACAAATACAAATTCCGATTATCGATCTAACTGCTCACGAGAAAAGACTGTTAGGACTAGGACAAGAACACTAATCTAATAGGACTGCTATACCCGAGTTTAAAACAGTATAGGTAAAAAAAAAACGAATTCTATAAGAGTTATAATTTTGTTAAAATCGCCTTATCTACATTTAAAATCTAAGAAAAAACAAGCACAACCTGAATCACAAACATCCCATTGAGGCCTGCGAGTGACGTCACCACTATAAGCTGCTATGCTGCTAATAGTGGTGACGTCACTCGCAGGCCCTGTTGACTGATCTGTGACTAGGAGACATCCCTACTTTATCTGTTTGCGTTTGCATTTGGGCCACCCACATTACGTAAGAATACTTCTTTTTTTTATGTCCTAACTTGAAACAGGAAAACGAATAACGTGTAAAGATGAGCCAACCTAATATAAAATAAAACGTGGGGAAATTGTAGGGATTTTTTCTTCTGGTTGGTAGGGAAAATTAGGGAATTTTGTTTGTCTTAAAAGGGAAATCGTGAAAAAAATGTTACCATCACTGGTACAATCGATAGTTACTATCGATGAGTAGGCCATTCTATCGATATCACTATCGATAGTTTTTTTTTCGATAGTTTGTCAACCCTATGTCACACTAAGGACGTCAAGTTAACTGTCAAAGCAGTTTTATAATACCCACCCTAAGGGCTTTAAGTTAACTTCTGGAATTACATGTAATTCAAAAAGTTAACTTCAAGTTAACTTTCAAAGTAGTTTTATAATACCCGCCCTAACTTGAACTGAGCGCTAGAAATTACCAACAGTTCTTTTCACGTGGCTCCGGTTTAACTAACTGGGTTACAAAACGGTTAGAGAAATGACATTACCGTTTTCTAACCCGGTTACATAAGTGACGTGATGGACACCTACCACTCGAATTTGAGCGGTATGTTGCGGTTTGTTAAACCGGAGCCACGTGAAAAGGGTTTATATGATTTCTAATCCGTGAGGTTAAGGGCGGGTATTATAAAACTGCTTTAACAGTTAACTTGAAGTTAACTTTTTGAATTACATGTAATTCCAGAAGTTAACTTTAAGTTAACTCTCAAAGTAGTTTTATAATACCCGCCCTAAGATTATTATTATTAATATTCCGATTATTTACTGTTTTATGGATTTCTGGATTTGATTTGTGGCAGATTTCAAGTGATGAGGATAGTGGAGAGGACGTTGCAGGCTGCCAGCCTTTTTTATATAAATAATGGAGGGAACAGGGAACCGTGAAATGTAGCGTTTTTGACATTTTATTCTAGGCTGCCTTATCTTACTCCTCCTCGAAAGTAAGTGCAGGGTTGTGTAAGTGCAGGTTGAACGTGAACTAAACGGCTTGGTACAAACTGCAGTTCACAAACGAACGCTCGTCAGTTCATTGCCATAACACAAGCAAACGACACAAAGCAGGAAGTGCTGCTCCGAACAACACAAAGAAACAAACCTCTAGGCGCACAAACTTGAACTGAGCGCAAGATATTTCAGGTTTGTGGCGTCACCAGTTCAACTGTTAACTGCTGTAGAACAATGAATATTCTGACACAAACGACCGGAGTTTTTTATTAGCCTATCCAAAACACGTGACCGGCAGGAGGATCACAAACTACTATTTACACACATAATTCAAATACACTATTTCTAACATTATTAAAAACAACAGGTTTAAGTTTTAGGAATAACAACGGAAATAATTCACAATTAGTACTATTTAAAACTCATAACACCATTTGATAACACATAACCAAAGGGTTTGTGTACCTCCTGGCGGACATTTTAATTTAAGTTTGGCAGCCTTCATAAGGCCTGTGTGGAACAAAATCTGAAACCCTCCACCACGCCAAATCACCAGTTGTGGCGTAGGCAGCATGTTGTTTCTCGCCTTGACGTAGGCTGTTTGCACTACAGCAGTATGATTCCGCGGGCATTCTAAAACAACTTTATTTAGATCTCGTTTTCATCTTCCTCTTTGCCTATTATGTTAATCAAAATTTAATAATAATTTTCTTCATAAATTTAAATTCTAAGCTACGACCGCTAGCGCAAACAGCTGACGACTTAGTTATGACGTCGGAAATGGTGACACCCCAATATGGCAGCGATTACCAAAAACGAGGCCGAAAAGTAATCCTTAGTCAAGGATAATACATACTACTACTACAGGATAGCCTATGCTCATAAGAAGGGCTAGATGGAACAAATCTGAAGCCCCCCACCACGTCAAATCACCAGTTGTGACCTAGCAGCATGTCGTTTCTCGGCTTGACGTAGGCTGCTTTCACTACAAGTTATGATTCCGCGGGCTTTTGCTTTATGCATACTTGGTTTTACTACATTAATTAACATTCTAAAACAACTCTTTTTTAGATCTTGTTTTCATCTTCCTCTTTGTTTATTATGTTAATCAAAATTAAATAATAATTTTCTTCATAAATTTAAAATCTAAACTACGACTGCTTATGGAAATGGTGACACGCCAATATGGCGGCGATTACCAAAAACGAGGCCGATAAGCAATCCTTAAGTAGTGTATATTATCCTTGAGTCTAATAGGGTAATCCAATCAAAATGGCGGCCGATGCCAGGTGACAAGCAATGAAATTGGCGACATATTCAAACAACCGTGACATTTTTCATCAGCACAATGTTTTTAGTGGTGTTTCAAGGTGATTTTTTAGTACACCGAAGGATAAATGTTCGTATTTTGAGAGGTTATTAGTGGAAAACCCGGATGCTGGCTATTACTGTATTCCTTTTATACATCAAGTTACACCGAATGAGCTCCTCGGAGTCACTCAAAAACACACAATTCAGATTTTACCATTATTTTTTAATATTAACATTATTGTCATTACCTAAAAGGGCTTCTTGCAACCCCCGCAAATTTGGTGCATCAGGCGAAAGGGGGATGCACTATGAGCGACTCGAGTGCTTAACGCACTTTTAAAAGGAACGTTCAAGCTTTTGAAATTGTGCAGCTCTGAGTAACTCAACGGGTAAAAGGAATACAGTAAATTAGGTAGGTATTATTCAGAGGTCGAGGATTCTAAAAACACGATTCGACACACGACTCGACAACGAGACGATTTTTTCCGACGATCCTAGGTTGGAATCTCATTGGAATCATACCTTTCGAGACAACAGGGCCGGTATCGAGTTGCGTCTCGTTGTCGAGTCGTGTGTCGAATCGTGATTTTAGAATCCCTACCCAGGATTTGTTTCTTGTTTAGTTTTTTCTAAACCAAATCCTAAATCCTGAGCCGTTCTCTCGCGTCCACTTTTTTGACATTGGTTCAAAACAGGTTTGAAACGGGCAATAGTAACACTATTGCCTGTTTTTTCTTTTTTTACATTTGATCTAACTGAACCGGCAATATTTTTAGTTCACTTGTGATCTAGAGTGGATCTAGATAATTTTTTTGTTGGTGGGGGTAAACTGATCCAACTACAATCTAAAGCCTAGTACTCATAACTGCGAAATTCGCATTTTTTTGACATTGCTTCGACAATTTGACGTTTGATACACGCATAAAACGTCAAATAGTCAACGCAATGTCAAAAAAATGCGGATTTCGCAGTTATGAGTACTAGGCTTAACTCGGCCTGATTCACTTATCTACTCCTCCTCGAAAGCAAGTGCGGGTTGAACATGAACTAAACACTTTGGTACAAACTATGCACTTCACAAACGAACAATCGTCAGTTCATTGCCATTACACAAACGAACGCCCCAAAGCAGGAAGTGTTGCTCCGAACAATACAAACAAACAAACCTATCTACAATTTGAACTCCGGGAGCATAATAGTTCCGAATCACTCCAATCAGTTCTGAATCATTACCACGAACGAATCTATCCCAAACTAATTGGCTATGTAAGCCGCTTTCCAGCTGTATGCTTCAAGTACGGTGCAGCACAATGTTCTGTGTTTGAAACGCAAAAGTTAGTAGCTCTCGAAGCGCAGTAAGGCTGGAACACGAACATGCGCTTGAAGCATTTGCGCGCGCAAAAGCTCGATTGCGTGCTCAAAAGCGTCAGCGGGAAGCGGCTGTATTTAGCTAACTTCTTTTAGTTGTCAATGTCAGATAACAAAAATAAGTCTAACCTGAACCTCACTCTTTTCCTCCTCCCCTACTTCCTTGTTTACAAAAATGTGTTTGTAAAAACGTGTTTTTTAAATTCAATTTTCTTCTGTATTCTTTGATTTCACCATGGAATTTCGTGTGGGAAGCATAGCGGATTTAATATCTGGAACTAATACTCCTAATAAGAAAAAAGTAGTTAAGAAAATTGTTGCTGCTCCAGTTGTTAAAGCTGAACCCGAAGCAAGCCTTGATTCTATCGAGGAATCAGTAGAAAAAATCAAAAAACCTAAGAAGTCAAAGAAAAAGAATAATGAGACTAGCGAGAGTACAAGTACAGGTGAAAAAAGGAAAAAAACCAAAACAAAAGCTGAAATCCCTGACACTAAAAAATCACAAACAAATAAGAAAAGAAAGCTGGACAAATCTGAAGCTGATCTAGTTGATAGTGATGGGGAAGATTCGACTCCTAAGAAAACAAAGTTATCCAAAAATGAGCAAAACGCTGCTGGTCGCATTAAAAACAAACAAAACCAAGAAGTGAAAAATTCCAGCGAATACAAGGATAAAACCTTGTTCGTCGGCAATATCCCCATAAACATAAAAAAAGAAAAAGTCAAAAAACTGTTTAGAAAATATGGAATAATTGATAGTGTCAGAATCAGGGGCATTCCAGTAGCTGATCCAAAAACTCCAAAGAAAGTTGCTGCCATTAAAAAGGAATTTCATCCTGATAGAAACACAGTTTATGCTTTTATTAGATTTCAGAATGCGGATGACTGCAAAAAAGCTGAAGCTGAAAATGGAGAACTTTTCCATGAGAATCATTTGAGAGTACACTGCTGTGAATCAGAAGATACTCCTGACGAAACAAAAGCTATATTTGTTGGAAACCTACCATTTAGTAAGTAAATTATCAAATAATATCTAATTTACTGAACAATTGCTATACAGGGTATTCAAAATAACCTGAAGTACATGGGAATTTTGGAAGCCATTGCAGATACAGGCTGGATCAAATAGTTGATGACAGATTTATTTGTAGGCACTTGATTGTGCAACTTTTTCCCCAGTTGGTCTATTCTGTATCAGTGGTTTTCTAAATCCCCATGTACTTCAAGTTACCCGGACACCCTGGCCTGTATAGAAATTTTTAGTGCATTTGTAAGAAGTTATTTTAATGAAGTTTAAGTGAAGTTAATAATTTAGTAAGAGGAAATTTTATCTACAACGCAAAATCCAAAAAATCATGTCTGCTCAAAGTATTTCCACCCATTGAAGCAAATTTGAACAGAAAACTTTAACGAATAAATTTCAAATACAATAGCAATAGAAGCTTTGTTATTTATTTTAAACAACTAATACAGGTAGATGAACCCTTTTCACAGTTGTGTTTAACATATAAACTGAATTAAACTAAGGTTTTAACTGAAAAGAAAAAACTAGGACTAGTTGCAGAATACTAAATATCACATACAGTACATGGGTGCTTCTAGTTGTATTATGTAATTTTAATGCTACTCATTTCCTAAAAGCAGGTCTTTAGTTTTTTGCTCGGTTTTTTGTTTTGAATTTCACGACCAGCTTTTCTCAAACACCCTGTATATGTGAAAGTGAGTTTTATAAAAAATTTAATTCCAACCATAAAACTTTTATTGGGACACTTCTTTCTAAAATGTCAAATAAAAAGCTCAGTACATCTCGTGACTATACAGGGTGTCCCAAATTCGATAATGACCATTGAGATATCAGAAACTATAAGAGATACTATTGTTTGCCCAGCGGTTCTGAGTCTACAGAAGGAATTCGGACGTAAATGGGCGATGTTGCCAAGTTTAGGAATAAAAACGCGAAAATACTAGCATGAAGTATACCTAGTTCATTTGGAAATCCATTTTTTTAATAACAAAACGTAGATAACAATAAAACGCTAAATATTTCAACGTGGTTGGTAAATCTATGCTTATTTAAATAACTGATTTCTTTAATTTTGTCTATTGTAAAAAATAAACATTTCCTAAAGAATCCATCAGTTTTTGACAATTTGGCAAGGATCCGGCCTGGATAAACCTGATTGGTGGAGTTTTTGGCAGGTCACCGTTGCCACAGGGAACCATGCAATTGTCAGTGGGCTAATGTCACCTTATACGTATCGCTACTGGCCAGGGGTCTTGTCATTTTATCCTCCCATCTTGAAATGTGGATTTATATTGAAATATCCAGTGGCGGCGGTTTGGTTATTGTTAATTTTCGTGTACAAGTTGCAATACGATAACACTTCCAAAAAGTTCCGCACGCAGCTGGGTATTTTATGAATGAAATCAGCCATTTTTCGAATAAGTCCGATACATCATAGGTTTTGGGACATCAGAGGTTTAAAAAATCTAAAATAAAAAATAAGGATCCGTATTTAAAAAAATAAAGTTGATGATGGCCGCCCAAAGACAAAAAGGCCGAATCTGAAATTTGGTAGCAACATCTTGTAAAGAAGAAAAAGTGACAATGATGAAGTGACATTCATTTTAAAATTGCTCTTCAAATAGACTCGGGGAAAAATAGAAATGATTTTGCAAAATTTCGATTTTTTCCGAATATCTTCGGAAGTATTAGGAATTTTTCAAATTTCAAAACGGCTTTTATTGGTCATAAAATTATGCAACTTTGCCATAATTTAACCGACCTCCTATCTCCTATAGTTTCCGATATCTCAATGGTCACCCTCGAATTTGGAACACCCTGTACATGGCAGGTTACAAATTACCAGATCTAAAGTCCTGCCTAAAGAGTTTGATATCGCATTATATTGTTTGGTCGATATTAAAATCTATATAATATAGAAAACGAGCAGATTGAAAGCAAAACGGTAGTCAACTTCCTGGGTATCTCTATTGACAACAGGTTAAATTTTGAGTAGCTCATTTTTGGACTGAGTGGCAGGTTGTCATCTGGATGTTTTGCAATTAGAGTGGTGTTTACTGAACTGGTGCTACACGCTAATTTATATTGAAGAAAAAAAATATCGATTTAGTTTATTAATTATGTTCCTTTAATAACAGGTTTGGGGACAGCGAGGTGTAGCAAATAATGCCTAGCTAGTACAGTGTGAGTTCGAGCGCCACTGGCTCAACGCAGCTTGAGCCAGAGAGCCTACTGGTTTTCAGTACTACCCCAAAACCCTAATAAGACAAACAGATAATTCCTGTGAAACAAAACTCCCAGAATATTCTGAGACTAATTTAAGTAATAATAGATGATACTGGTTTAGTAGTAATTAATAAATTTATAAAACCACACAACAGTGAATTCCAGGATCGTCTTGGCTGGTGATTTTAACATTGATTTTCAGGACTATAACTTGACGACTGTTCAAGCTTTATCTAATTTGCTGGACTCTTTTAATATTAGGATGTTAGTATCTGAACCTACACGTTTCACAAATACTACTAGCTCTCTTATTGATTATTTTTGTGTTAACTTTGGTGAAGCAAACAATTTTAATTTAACTGTAATACCCTCTGGATTATCAGACCATGAGGCAATAATAGCAAAGCTTTCTCTAAAAAATAATACTAAAGAAAAAACAAAAACAATTGGTAGAATCTATAGCAAGAAAAATTATAGAAATTTTCAAGCTGATACTCAATTGTTGAACTGGAATGTGGTTTTCCAGCATAATAATCCACTAGAACACTTCAATAATTTGTTGATTTTAACCTTTAATAACAATTTCCCCTTGCAAAAAATTAAAAAGAAAAAGTTCAAAAAACCCTGGGTAACAAAAGGTTTGAAAATATCATCAAAGAATTTAAGATGTCTTTGTAATCTTAAAAAATATTTTCCATCTGAATTTATAACAAACTATCTTAATAAGTACAAGAGAATGTATAGGCAAGTCATTAAACTAGCAAAAACGGACTACTATAAAAATAGGCTAAGTCGCTCAGGAAACAAGGCTAAAGAAGGGTGGACTATTGTGAGTGAATTAACAGGAAAATATAATTTGAACAGTAATCAAATTACCATAGATTCAAATATGCTCAATGAATATTATTGTAAAGTAGCTAGAGAAATAATGTCTAATTTAAAACCACAAATTGACCCTCTATCTTTCCTACAAAACATAAATATCATAGAGAGTTTTTTCTTACGACATACTGATCTAACAGAACTTAAACATGTTATTAAAAATATACAAAATAAAACCTCCACTGGAATAGATAATATATCAATTAAAATATTTGAGAATTTATCAGATAATGCATTAAACGTTTTGGTAAATGCTATAAATAATTCATTTGACACTGGTGTGTTTCCGCAATGTTTAAAAATAGGTTTAATTACGCCAATATTTAAGGGTGGAGATCTGGAAGACCCCTCTTCTTATCGACCCATCTCTCTCCTCCCTACTCTCTCTAAAATAATGGAAAAAGTGGTCAAGGATAGAATGATGTCATTCATAAACAAACATAATATTTTAAGGGAGTGCCAATTTGGATTTCAAACAGCAAAAAGCACTAATGACGCGCTATTTAATTTTTTGCAGAAACTTTATTTGAATCTCAATGATGGAATGGTGGCTTCGGCAGTGTTCTGCGACTTGTCAAAAGCATTTTACTGCGTGAGGCGTGAAATACTGCTGAAAAAACTAGAACATTATGGATTTAGAGGTATTGCGTTGAAATGGATATCTTCATACTTATCAGAGCGACAACAGCTTGTTAAATGCCAGAACAAAAAGTCAACCATTCAAACCAACTCTTATGGCGTACCACAGGGATCCGTGTTGGGACCACTCCTTTTTTTATTGTATATAAATGACATAGTAAATACAAACATAAGTGGTCATTTCACACTCTTTGCTGATGATACAACAATTCTGTGGGTGGATCAGAGCTCTAATCAGCTAGAAGCACGAATACAAGCTGATATATGCAAAATAAAACAATGGTGTGATGCCAATTATTTGTCTTTTAACATTAAAAAAACAAATATCATGACTTTCAAGGGCAATATAGCGGACATAACTTTGGGCAATGATGAAATAGAAAAAACCCAAGTCTCAAAGTTTTTGGGTATATATATAGACTCAAAATTGAGATTTTCTGAGCACATAACATCACTAAACAAAAAATTATCATCGGCTTGCTACGCCATAAGGATAGTTAGCAATAATCTAAGTCATACTGTATCCAGATCTGTGTATTTTGCGCTTGTTCAGTCAAACTTGACTTATGGAGTAGCATTCTGGGGTCATGCCCCTAAACACCTGATTCAATCAGTGTTTATACTTCAGAAAAGAGCCTTGAGATATTTGTGCAAATTAGGGCCCAGAGACCACTGTAAGCCATTCTTTGTGAAGGAAAAAGTATTAACACTCACTTGCCTTTTCATTGTAGAAGTTGCAAGTCTGGTACATAAAAAATATAAAAATGTTCAAGATAGCTCCAAATATGAGACTCGCAGAAATAATGAACTGCGCCTACCTATCCCAAAGAGCTCATTGATTAGGAACTCACTAATATATGAGGGATTAAAAGTTTATAATCACTTACCACAAGATTTCAGAAATATCAACAATGATAAAATATTCTCACGATCTGTAAAACGTTTACTACAATCTAAAGCATACTACACCTTGGAAGAGTTTTACAGTGAAACATTTTAAAATGCATGTAATAATTAATATGTGGCTGGTTACAACTTTTTTGTTTTTTTTTATTTTTTCGTCTTTTGTTAGAGATTAGGTATTATGTTTGTTTTGCACTATTTAGCTTTTGTAAAGTCATTTTTATTGTATCTGTGAATTTTTAATATATTTGTATAGATGTAAGTTTTTGTTAAATCGCGAGTTAAGTTTTGTATACACATGTGTATGTTTGTCTGCTTTATTATTATTATTATTATGTATTTGATCTCGATTTGATATACTATTTTCTTTTTATATATACCTACAGCTTTGTTCTTGAGAACAATAAAGCATATTTTGATTTGATTTGATTTGATTTGAACCTAAAAATATTGGCCAATCCCAGCTGTGATCACAACCGGTTTACACGGTCTTTTATACGAATAAAAATATTAAATGAATTATCTAAATTTATTATAAGGCCCACAGGCCACCCTTTTGTTTAAAACTCTATGAGATAATTTAATGTTTCAAAATAGAATAATCTATCTGCTTTTCCACCAAGTTGATCTAGGGAGATTGCTCTTCAACCCTTATTAAAATTTCACTATGAGTTAGGTACTTAGCTGGAACACGTGTTGTGTTGCAAATCCGAGAATGGAAGCTATCTGTCAGGACATCCAATTCCAAATCAAATCCAATAGGTTTTCTTTTCTTTTTCTTTTGAATGTTGATCGAATTGTCTATTTAATGGTGGTTGATTGATAAGGCGACACCAACATCCATGTAGGAAGAGAAGCCCTACGAGATCGGAGTAAAGGAAATAGTTATTTCTAGAAAATTCGTTGGGGTCAAAAAGTTTGACTTACGTGGTTGTTGTGTGGCTTTGAAGTAGTTTATTTCCTCTATAGCCGAAAGCTATAAAACTTCCAGACGGGAAATGTTCTACAGAAGGAATTTAGTGTTAGTTAGAAATAAAAAAACAAAGTGGAAGGCGGAATAAATCCGGCAAATAAACCGATAGCGGTAAATTTCACTGATAACTAACTCACTCAGGAGCAAAACCAAATAAATTTACTGCCAAAAAAAAGTATCTCACTTTCCCAAAACCGAAAACCAAAAATGTGGTTTAATTTGTAACGATACAGTCCACGCGACCAAAATGACTTCTAACCGACCTTTTCTGTTCAGTACTTAGAACCCAAAAAAAAACTAATAATTTAAATAGGTACCATTTGAACCAACTGCCGAAACCTTGGGGCAAAAAACGAATTCAAACAAAACTGCGACAATTCGCAAAATCGTACCTAGAAATAAATAATGATTTTTCAAGGAACCACCAAAAGAGGCCAACACTTGCATGATCATAAAAAAATAATTCCAGCCTAGTGTTTGAATGAGTCCCCCGTAAATACATAAATAGATTCCTTTACAAAACCTGACAAAGGAACAAAAATATGAATATCCTAGAATCCCTTTCGTTTTCGATATCCAAATGACCAAACTCCCAAGAAAAAAATAAAACGTAACACTGGACACTTCCACAGCAAGAATGGTCTATTTTTCTTTATTTGAATCATACATTCGTTATGCTGTGGTATTTTGGGGTTTCTGTAAACAACTTTTTAGCAGCATATTTGTGTTGCAAAAAAGAGCTATTAGGTATACTTGTAGAGTGAGAAGTAGAGACCACTGTAGACTATTATTTATCAAGCACGCTATACTAAAATCAATATGCTTGTTTATCCTGGAGACAGTTTCTTTGCTTCACAAAAAATATTTTTTCTACTACCGTGCGTAAAGTACTCACTTTACGCACTATTCAGAAGACGTAAAATTTCACTTCACGCACTAGTGCGTAAAGTAATTCACTTCACACACTAGTGCGTAAAGTAATGTCAATGACAGTTGTTGACACTGTCAATTTGGCATTTTTTTGGTAAATTAGGTACTTCACGCACTAGTGCGTAAAGTGAAAATTCTTTACGCACTAGTGCGTAAAGTATTTGTCATATTTTTTTACACATATTTGATTGCTAGTAGAAAAAATTTTGTATGCAATACGTGCGTAAAGCACCTTTTTTCACTCATGTGATTGTCGCACTCGCCTTGTCAAAATTCACATTCGTGAAAAAAGGTTCACTTTACACACTTGTTGCATAAATAACTATTAATTAACTTGAAAGCGCATCAACACAGCACACATATGATATGCGACAAAACCGAAATATACGCTTTCCTATACCTACCTATCATGTAAAAAAAAATAGAATGTTCAGTACACTGCATATTATAATAATTTCCTACATGTTTACTATTACCAGAATATGTACACCCAATTTTGACAATAATTATAAGAAATTTTTTCTTCTGTGTAGTACATATTTTTTATTCATAATTCAATTTACTTTAGATGCCGAAGATGAAGAACTCTGGAATTTATTTAAGCCTTGTGGTGCTATTGCTCATGTTCGTATTGTAAGAGATGGACGTACCGGAATGGGGAAAGGCTTCGCCTATGTCAATTTCAAAGACAGCGACGCAGTACAGCTGGCTTTAGAAATGGAAAAAGTGAGCCTCAAAGACAGGGAACTTAGGATTTCTTTGTGTGATAATATGAGGGCTAAAAGGAAGAAGGTGGTAAGTTAATTTTCAAATTGTTTATTATCTTTTTTTTTAATTCAATTGGGATTTATTCTGCTAAAAATTATTGTAAATTTTTAGGGTAAAAAGCCAAGGAATAGGGTAAGATATCCAAAGGAAGGAGAAAATGGTGAGGAGGCTCCAAAGAGAAGGAGGTATTTCAAGAAAGAATACAACGATAAAAGCAATGGATTTAGTGGAACTAAATTTAATGATAAGAACAAGGTAAATATTGATATGGGTATATGTAGCTATAAGATACATACATGCTACATACAGAGTGAGTTTTAAGTATGGAACGTCTCAATTATCTCAAAAGCGGCTTGCACAATTTTTATGAATTTTGGTGTGAACGAGTATTATAATATGGCGGATAATATGGTAGTATTTACATGGTTGTCAGATTTTTCGTTTTTAAGGAAATATCTGAAACTTTGTTTTTTCAAATGGATCACCCTGTATATTATGACATTTCTGGGTTCTTCGGAAAATTCTAGACATATTTCATGTGCAATATTATATACCTATCTTCAACTGTTTTCGAATGATTGACAGTAGAAAATAGACTTTTTCACAACTTTGACAGACTGTAAAATCTAAACGGTCGATTTTACAGCAAAACCGATCATACATTCTTGTCTTAGTTTTTCAGAAACTATCGTTCGACACCAACTTTGAATTAAATCCATGATTAAAAAATTCGGTTAAATTTAATCTCTGGTTAAATTCATAGTTGGTATCAAATGATAACTTATAAAAAGCTACAGACAAGAATGTCAAATAGGTTTGGCTGTAAAATTCGCCGTTTAGGTTTCACAACCTGTCATATTTGCAAAAAAGTCAATTTTCAACTGTCAATATTTCCGAAACAGTTGAAGATAGGTATATGACATTGTACATGAAATATGTCTAGAATTTTCCGCAGAACCCAGAAAAGTGATAATATACAGGGTGATCTATTTGAAAAAACAAAGTTCCTGATATTTCTCGAAAAACGAGAGATCTGACAACCATGCATATTATCGGCCATATTGCAATACTCATTCACACCAAAATTCATAAAAGTGGGCAAGCCGTTTTCGAGAAAATTGAGACGTTCCATACTTAAAACTCACTCTGTATGTAATTACATTTCATAGTTGTGAGAGTTTAACATATTCTCATATTTTTTGTTGCATATGGTATTCTTTGTCCAAAACTTTGATTATTTTGAAAAAATAAGTTCAAAAGGTTTCTAAGGTCTGTTCAGCTGATTTATTGTATTAGTGTGTCTAACTTAAATGATCCCTGTATCCTCTTCCGCACACTAGATGTTCCTAGCTAGAAGATGGTAGTAGTCCCCTATCGAAAATCGTATAAATCCCTTTGTAGATCAACCTCAAATTTAATTTAATTTAATTTTGAAAGATGAAAGTTGGCCAACTTTTAAATTAAGTTATATTATGTCTTAAATTAAAATTTTGTATGAACATCGTCATATGGTATTAGTAAACTTTTTAAATTAAATTATATTAAATGCTAAATTAAATTAAATGTCTGTTAGAACCCACCTTAAGAGGCCTGGGTACCTCCCGCATAATTGAGATTCGATCGCAGCGCCATTTGTAGTTCACGAATTACACTTTCACACAATTTGGCAACACCGCTAGCTGCCGACCACTTTCCGTCGCTGGGCTGGCTTCGCCCTAAATTATTTATCCTAAAGTTCATTGGCGCACGGTAGCCATATTCAAATCAGAAGATAACCAAAGGCGTAGGAGGATTTATTTGGTTTTATCATTTGTGATTATCGCGTTTATCATATCAAATAATTGGAAGTAAATGGAAAAAAATAAAAATAACAAAATGTAATTCTTTTTTAAGCGTAGTAGCGCACCCCAGGTATACGCTAGTTAATTTTTATTACACACTTTGTCGTTCAATTTCCTCTAATTTGAGTATTTTTGAAGCACATTGAACTACTAAAATAGGTATAACCACTGTTGTGCCCGTATTACATCTAAGTATTTTTCCGTGTATTTATTCATGTAGTTCAGGGTGCCAACATTATTTTGTTGTTCATAATGCTGATTTATGTTGCGTTTGAAGTTTTTCGGTTGTCACCCTGAACTACATGAATAAATACACGGAAAAATACACAGATTTAATACGGGCATTGGAGTGCACGAAGTATTTCGTGCTCTAGTGCGCAAAGTATTTCGTGCACGTCGCTAAGGTAAATAAAACCAATTTGAGATATTTCGCACAGAAATGAGTGTGAAAATGTCGTAATTTTTTGACAAATTGTGTTTTTATCCGTCAGATTACATAACCTGACAGTTTATCAGAAGGTGAATAAGCCGGCCCTAAAGAAACGATAAATGGGTAAAGCTTGTTTTTTTTTTTAATAAAAAAATCTGATATTCCTGTGACCTAGTAAATTTACCTCATGGATTCCGCAGAATTTATCTCCATTGAGTTTTTTTTTAAATTTGATGGATGAGCATCAGTAATATCATTGTTATTGTCATTATTGATGCTGAGATAGTTATTTTCCTAACAAATGCGCAAAGTGTTACTTTTCCGCACGCAAACACAGTTAAAGTCTGTTTTTTTTTAAAGATTCCCCAAGTCAAAAATTTAGTGAGCAACTATGTTGGCAACACAAGCCTTTTCTACATTAAAAATTTGAAAGCATTGACAATTTTACATTGTATGTATTGCCAACATAATGTCATTTTGACTTTTATCTTTAAAAAAAAAAACAGACTTTATACGAACGACGTCAAGCGGAGTTCGGATAAGTTTTTGGACGAGGAAAAGACACTTTGCGCACATGTTGGGAACAAAATTTTTCCTACGAATTTTTACCGCACTTAGTGTACATTAATAAAGAATACGAACACTATCAAACGTATTTTTAAAAGAGTGCGGTAAAGAAGTTTCATCTACGAGCGTGCGGTAACTAAGGTATATCACACGATTTTGCGTGCGGTATGTACCATATAACCGCACGACGTGTGGTAATTTTATTACCGCATGACGTGCTGTAATAGCGTGTGGTAATATTATTACCGCATGCCTTCAATTACCTACCTATCACCTAAATTCTACCCGTCCACTGTCAAATTAATGTGCCAGAAGCAATTTTATTATCTATATATAATTTTCCAAACTTCTATCGGATATTTTGCTACCGCACGGTTGTAGATAAAATACTGTATATAATTCGTATGGTAATTACTAATTAGATTATGTCCGCCCTTAGAGATTGCAAAGCTCGCCTCACCGGCTCGGTTGGCAAATTTCTCCCGTGTGCGGTAATAACCTAAATACCACACTTGTTTTGTAATATACTATTACAGCACTGCGGTAAAGAATTTTTATGTACGACCCACACTGTAAGAGCTTATTACGTAACTCATTTAAGCCTGTTTGAGTGTTTGAGTTACGTAATAAGTTGTATTATCGTACTTAGTGATGTAATCAGCTCATTACATCACTAGTGATGTAATATAAATCACTTGTGATGTAATGCGCTCATTACGTTACTCATTTTCATTGAAAAACGGCATTTTTTAAAATTAATTTATTCGGAAAAGTTGTAAATTTAATCTTTTGTGGAAAATAAAACCAATTTGGAATACATACAAAAAAATCTGCGTCATACATAAAATGCTGTATATCACACGTACGGTAACGCTCATTACACAACTCGTGTGATTACCACTCTTTACTGTAATAAATGAAGTTCATACCGCACTTGTGATATAAATAACTATTACCTACGAACGTGCGGTAAACACCTTTACCGCACTTATTTGTAAATAGAAAGTAGCACTGATTGAATGTCGCGAAGCGAAGTTCGGTCAAGCCGTTGAGGGCGGTAGAGGCACTTTCCGCATGTATTAGGTACAAAATTTTACCTATGAGCATCTACACCCCCCAAAAAAAAAGGCATCAATTAAATTATTTAATGAATTAGATTAATTAATGAAATTGAATTAAGGTACCTGACCCAAATAAGGCCATGTACCTAATAAGGCCAATGCCCCTTATTGCTTAATATTGAATCCCATAATCAAAAATTGGAATATAATTGAAAAAGATATCTATTATGCAAATCAAAAATTATTGCGAGGATTCCTAGCAACTCGTTATATGTCGAAAAATGGGTAACCACAGATTTCATATGTCACGTTATAACTTTGAGGCTGGAACTTAATTAGTTTATACACATGTTCAGAAAGGGAATGGAGCGAATGTAATTTTTACATGGACATTTATGTATTGAGAAAGCTACAGAGTAAGTACAGAATAATATCTTTGCTAGATTTCTAGTTACAGAATTTTGTTTATCAATGTAACATGTTCCTAACAAGGCCACATGAAAAATTTTCAATTGGCCTCCCATCACAGTGTTTTTTTAAAAAGAATGTGTCATATTATTGCTTAAGTGATGTGTTCTAGAATGCCTGAAGTCTAACCAAGCAAGAAAAGCTGCGGTTCATTTGTCCTAGTTGTATGTAGACCTATTCGGATTACCATCCCTGGACTTCAAATTATTGTTTTTTTAGAATGCAGCAAACGTTAAAGTTCTATTTTGAGAACTTTATGTCGAAAAATAATATTTTTATGAATGATTCTATTTATTTTAAACATTTTTTATTGTTGGCCTTATTAGGAGCATAGTGATCCGAATAAGGCCAATGGTAAGGGTCATTGTTTTACGCAAAAAACCACCACTTATACGTAAAAATAAATAAATTGGAGTTATTATTCAAGTAATAGAGGCGAAACACTTCACATATAAGCTCGTGATTCTTGTTGGGTTTGGTGGATAGTGTTCGGGAAAAATAAAACTTCTTAACATGGCCTTATTTGGGACAGGTACCTTAGATTTAAAAATGACAAAAAATCTCTTTTTTGGAAAACAAGGGATTTTTGATAATAAATACCAAAGTCTACTTTACTGCACACTATGCGGTAATAGTTATTTACCTAACAAATTTACCTAACAAATAGTTATTTACCTAACAAAATTCGGTCAAGCCCTTAAGGGCAGTAAAGGCACTTTCCGCATGTGTTAGGTACAAAATTTTACCTATGAGCATCTAACATCTCCAAAAAAAGGCATTAATAAAATTAATTAATGAATCAGATTAATTAATGAAATTAGATTGGATTTAGAAATGATCAAAAATCCATTTTCTGAAAAAAAAAGGATTTTTCATCATAAATACCAA